AGTAGTAGTAGTAGTAGTACTTAGTAGTAGTAGTAGTAGTAGTAGTAGTCGTAGTCGTAGTCGTAGTAGTAGTAGTAGTAGTAGTAGTAGTCGTAGTAGTGGTAGTAGTAGTAGTAGTAGTAGCAGTAGTAGTAGTAGTAGTAGTAGGCGAAGCAGGACTGGCATCAGGATTGGATATCCTTTGGCCTGTGCTTCACAGTTGTTAAGTGAGCCTGTTCGGGGGCCAGGGATGAGTGAGGACGCTTTGCGTCCCAGGTTTAGTCCACTGGTTTACCCCATCGGCTTCTTTCTGAAGGCCCGTCGCGGTAGCCGCGCGTTCTGTTGCTGCGCACTTGTTGACGTCCTCTCTGCTGGCATTTTTCTACCTGCGCTGCATCCTTTCTTTTTTCGCCAGTTCAGCAAGATAATGTTGCGAAGACTAGTTGCGCTTCGACTCAGGTTGGGCTCTCGCGCCACCATGCGCGCGACTACAAGTTGTGGCTTGTGTTTGCGGTGTTTCCTTTGAGCTGGTCTGTAAGCTGCTGTCTTTTTTAAGTCAGAAACCAGCAGGTGCGTCTCCGGATCTGGCATCCGTCGGGCGACGCGGCCTCCCGTGACCCCCCGTTGCTTCCCTTTGGACGCCCGAAACGGGTACGGAAAGAATGGGTACAATGCCCATCTGCAGTTCCTGTCCACTCTGAACAGGACTCGCTGTCCGCGCCGCCGCGGCCTGTGTCCGCTCAAGACAGGAGGCCGCCATCGCTCGGACGTCCAATTCCCGTGCATTCTTCGGTTTCGTGCGTGGTTTTTTTGCTCGATGGTCCAGGATGATCCTCGATGGTCCTCGCCGAGGAAAAAAAAGTGCACACGGCCGCGCGAGCGCCAAGGCTCCGCAGGGGGAGTGCTTGGATCCGCGCCCGACCCCGCCTCCCCGGCGCGCAGAGCGCGCCAGGGGCAGTGCCACAGGCGCCGCCAGGGGGCCCGACTCCGATCCAAGAAGTCCGCGCGGGGCTCCGGAAGTTCTTGGCTCACACACGATTGAGAGGGGCCCAAGGGCACACAACTAAATACACACGAATACGAAGGTTCCCTATATTTTCTCATATGTTCTGGGTTGTTGTCTTCCCCCACGCACTTCCCATATGTTCCCACATTTTCCTGGGGATCCACGATTGATTGTGCCTGTGTGTTTTGTTCCCCTCGTGGTCGAGCGAAGAGCGGCCGCGCACGAGACGGCCTGCGCAGGGGATCGGAGCCAGAGACCGCGAATCGACGCCCAAAGCCCAACACAAGAGCCCACCCAAGACCGCACAAGACATCCCGCACAGGACCTCGCACAAGACCTCTAGGACTGCTCAGTCCGTTAAAGATCAGGTTCGTTGTTGCTCTTCCTCGAGTCCTGCCAAGGCTGTGGAGCTCCCCCGCGTCCCTGAAGAGCACGGAATCGCCCGCGGCCCGGGCGCAGACGTTGAGCACGTGCGAGACGTCCCAGAACGCCATCGGTCGCTTGTTGACGAGCACCTCGTCGGGCTTGCTGGCCGTGTACCGCGCAGGCAGCGTGTAGGCCGACAGCGGGCGCACCGCGGGAATCTCGAGCGGCATGTGGTACAGGGACTGCATCGAGATGTACGGTGCCACCGTGGCGAGCGTGCTGCGGCTGTCCCCGGCCAGCTGGTCCGTGAAGCGGCGGTACAGGTCGAGCTGGGGCTCGCTGCCCTTGAGCATGAACGCGACGTGGACCCCGAAGTAACCGATGATGGCCTTCCCTTCCTCGTGCGCGATGACGCACACGATGGCGGGTTCGCTGCAAAGAACGACGTCGGCGTGCGCGAATGCCGGCCCCTCGTCGGGAGGGAATCGACAAGTAACAGCGATACGCGCGTCGTCGCTCAAACTGCACGCGTTACTCCTGCGTTGTGTTTACGGAGAGCACGGCACGTCCTCACTAGTAACACGCTGATGAGGTCGCCCGACCAGCGCGAGCACTGACTCTGCTCATCGTGAGCGAGGGCATGCCAACCCCAATCCCCAAAATTGTGAGGGTCTCTGACTCGACGACCATCAAAGAAGGCAACCTCGGAGAAGGGCGTTTGGGGGGGGGCCTCCATCCTCGACAAGGGTGCGTCCCGATAGCATCCCCCCCACGGGGGGTGTACAGTGGGGGTCAGTCCACAAGGCACCTTCCAAAAGAACCCCAACCCTGAGACCCGAGGACATCCACTGGATTTTGGTGTGGGAACGCCACGCCTTCCACAGCAGAACCGTCGGAGCCCAAGAGACCCGGGGCACCCTGGAGACAAGCTGGGTGTTGCTTGGCACGGGCCCCCACTGTGCCCTCAGGTCGGGCATGGCATTCTTCAGGCGGGCTTCGGACGAAAATAAAGAAAGTCCCACATACATATATATATATATATGGATAACAAGTTTAATAATAATACTACTAATACTACTAAACATAAGAACAACAACAACAATAATAATAATAACAATTATAGTAATAATAACAACAACAACACTCATAATAATAGTAATAATAATAATAGTAATAGTAATAATAATAATACTAATAATAATAATCATAATAATAATACTAATAGTAATGATAATAATGATGATAATAATAATAATAAGAATAATAATAATAATAAATTGTTTCTGAATATGCCGACTATGCCTCCTGCAGAGGGACGCGCCCGCCTTCACTGCACCCTCGAGTTCCCATGCTTCGCTGCGCGGCGGCCTGCTTCTCGGGGGAGGGGGGCCTCGAGGAGTGGGGGCGGCGACACATCGCCCGCGGGCCTCCTCCTCCTCCTCCTCCTCCTCCTCCTCCTCCTCCTCCTCCTCCTCCTCCCCCTCCTCCTCCTCCTCCTCTCCTCCTCCTCCTCCTCCTCCTCCTCCTCCTCCTCCTCCTCCCCCTCCTCCTCCTCCTCCTCGTCGTCCTCCTCCTCCTCCTCCTCTTCCTCCTCCTCCTCCTCCTCCTCCTCCCAAACCTCCGACGTACCGTCAAAACGGGTACCAAGGACGAGTGGCAGGGACGCAAGACCCTGGGGGGCCGAAGATGGGATTCTTGGGGCGGCGGGCGACCAGGGGAAACGGCACAGCACGGGCCGCAGAGGCAAGGACACGGGGGGGTACCCTGGATGAGGGCGCGCGCCCTTCTTGGGCGCGCTTGCTGCGGCTCGTTCCTCGGCACGGCTCGGCCGGAGCGCAGCACGGCTCAGCACGGCTCGGCACCTCTGCCCGGAATCCGGCTGTTCGCCCCCGATCGTGTTTTTTGCTTTGGGTGTCCCCGGCCCGGCGAGGGGCCCCGTCGCCGCCGACGGCGACGGGGAACCTCCTGCGCAGCCTCGCCTCCATCAGGCAGGGGCGTCGTGACCGAGACTGCGCCCGACAAAAATCCGCCCGAGCGTGCCCGAAACTGGCGCCCTCGAAAGTGCCCGAGTGTGACCGACGTGTCTGGCCCGAGACCAAGACGATGCTCAAGTTCGGTCACAACGTTGGTCGTGCTACGTCGTCGCAGCTTCGGGCACGTTCTCGGTCATCCATGTTTTGATGGTCACCTACCCTTTCGGTTGATGTGGGCCGGGGGCCATAACCTCCGTCTTGATTTGTTCCACCCGGCGAAGGTCCCCAGACACCGAACTGTACGAACAAGCCCGTCCTATTGTTTTGCCTATACGTCGGAGGTCCGGGCTGGCTCCTCCGACCTCGAGCGCCAAGGCTGCGCGGAAGGCCCTCTCGAAGTCCGCCGGAGCCCTCAAGGAGTCGCGGTGCGACATCCGCGAGCCCTCGTCGGGCTCCTTCTCGCTGTACGCCTCGAAGACCTCCCGAACGGCGCTCGCGCGGTCCGCCTGGCGGGCGCTGCTCCACGCGACCAAACGATCAAAAACCGAATCCCACCAGCCCTTCAGGGCACGAGTGGCTTAGAGGGCTTCCCCTTCCAACCCACTTCTTCCCCTTCGGGGAAGGATTTTACCCTCCCCCTAATTACCCCACACCTCATTATTTCCCCCATTTGTCGAATGTTGTGTTTTTTTACCTAACAGCTTTTGCTGATAGGTTTCTAGTAGGGTCAAAATAGAACAGCAGATGACGGGGGTCTGGGCGGGTGCCGGGGAGGAGAACCGGGAATCGTTTTTCGCCAACAATCACACACTTCGTGCTCTTCGACCTCCCAGAACTCCATTCCCGGGCCACATTCTGGAGAACCGGGAACAGAGCCGGGCTCGTTTTTCGTCAACAGTCACACACTTCGTGCTCTTCGACCTCCCAGAACTCCATTCCCGGGCCACATTTTGGATGCCCGGAGCCAACTGTAGGCCACTTCGTGCTCTTCGAGTTCCCAGAACTCCATTCCCGGGCCACATTTTGGATGCCCGGAGCCAACTGTAGGCCACTTCGTGCTCTTCGAGTTCCCAGAACTCCATTCCCGGGCCACATTTTGGATGCCCGGAGCCAACTGTAGGCCACTTCGTGCTCTTCAAGTTCCCAGAACTCCATTCCTGGGCATGATTTTGAATGCCCGGAGCCAACTGTAGGCCACTTCGTGTTCTTCTAGTTCCCAGAACTCCATTCCTGGGCCACATTTTGAATGCTGAGGCAGGCTGATGCTGCGGCCGAGGCAGGCTGAGGCTGAGGCAGGCTGAGGCTGAGGCCGAGGCTGAAGGCAGACTGAGGCTGAGGCTGAAGCAGGCTGAGGCTGAGGCTGAGGCAGGCTGAGGCTGAGGCTGAGGCTGAGGCAGGCTGATGCTGAGGCAGGCTGAGGCTGAGGCTGAGGCTGATGCAGGCTGAGGCTGAGGCAGGCTGAGGCTGAGGCCGAGGCTGAAGGCAGACTGAGGCTGAGGCTGAAGCAGGCTGAGGCTGAGGCTGAGGCAGGCTGAGGCTGAGGCAGGCTGAGGCTGAGGCTGAGGCAGGCTGAGGCTGAGGCTGTGACTGCGACTGCCGTTGCCACTGCGACTGTCATCGCGAATGCGACTACGACTGCGAGAACAGCAGAATTCTACAACTGGATTCTCATCCGAATCTTAAGGGGAATGCTTCCAGATATGCTCCTACACGTCGCTGTTAGGTTGCTTTGCCGGGATAATATTTTATGCAGTGACCATTCGGCGAATTCACGTTTTCGTAGCCTGGAGACTATTCGACGAATCGCATTCTCCTCGTGATTTGAATTGACGCGTCATCTACGGAAAAAAAAATGTTTCCCAGGATGGTCTCCAGCATGCCACCAAGAGGCGCCCACACGGTCACAAGACGGCCCGATACTGCCACAGGGCGCGCCAAGGAGGCACCCGGGAGGCGAAAATCCTTGGAGAACGAACACGCTTTCTCTGGCTTCGCAGCGTCCTGCTTCCCATGGGCGTCGGCGGCCTCAGGATGGCTCCAAAGAGGCCCCCGGCAGGGCCGCCGTGGGCGCAGCGTGGCCCCGAGACGGCCCCGAGCCGGGCCCCGAGACGGGCCCCAAGACGGGCCCCAGGGAGGCCCCCGGATGGCGACCTCTTCGAGGCCCTGGGCATGTGGGGCGGGCCGCCGGGGGCAGGGACCGGGCAGGGCACGCTTCTGCCGCCAGGGGGAGGGGCGTACCCGCTCCGTTCGGGGAGGTCCCTCCGCCTGGACCTGGAGGGGGGGGGGGGGGGCGGCGGGTCGTTGGCGCTTGGGTCGTGGGCCCGTGTTTGGCCTCTCGGGGGAACCCTCATTGAGGATCCTCCCCTTCTTTGACCGATCTCCTCCGCGATGGCTTGGAGATGGCCCCCAAGGCTTCCACCAATGCACTGAGGGGCGCCAAGAGGCGCCCAGGACGCCCCAAGAGGTCCCCAAGAGGTCCACGAGGGGCTCCCAAGAGGCACCAAGAGGCCCCCCGAGGCACCCAAGACGCTCCAAGAGGCCCCAACGACCGCCAAGAGGCCCCGAAGGCGCACCAAGGGACCTCCAAGAAGCTACCAAGAGACATCCGAAGAGACTCCGAGAGGCATCCGAGAGGCCTCTGGCCTCTCTCCTCGCCGTCGCCCTCCTCCTCCTCCTCCTCCTCCTCCTCCTCCTCCTCCTCCTCCCTCCTCCCTCCTCCCTCCTCCCTCCTCCCTCCTCCCTCCTCCCTCCCCCTCCTCATCCTCCTCTTCCCTCCTCCCTCCTCTTCCGTCCCCCCACCTCTGGGGGATGACAGCTTCCCCTGCCCGCTACTCCACTGCATGCCCCTCCACATCCCCGATCAGGGCAACTCGCCTGGGCATGGCTTCTGGATGGGCTGGTGGGGACACTTTTTGGCACGCGGGCGCGCGAAGCAAAGCCGAACGCCGAGCACGCTGGGGCGGACCGCGCCGCAGCGAAGGAAAAAAACAGCGAAGCAGGCTGCGTCCGCCACGGAGCGGAACAGAGCGAGGCGCAGCTGAAACGGCGCGGCAGGCATCACGCAAGTACCGCGAGAACGTCCAGGCTGGTGGGGTCATTTTTTGTTTTGGTCGGCGGCTCCGAAGCAACGGTCGGGGAGCGGAAGGCGTCGTCTGGGCCAGCAGGCGAGGCGAATTAGCTACAACAGGCGACGCACCTGCAGTGATAATTCGCAAAGAATGCGAGGTGTGCACATGCAGTGAGCAAAATGCGACACATTAAGGCGAACGCACCTAGGCGCCAGCCACACGGAGGTGAAGCAGCCGCAACTGGTGGGGTCACGCGCAACGCCCAGACCTCGGCAGGGACGACCAGCACCAGAAGACGCCTCTCGCCGGGGCCGCCAGCTGCGGCCTGGCGGCATGGCGGCCCCGACGAAGACGACGACGACGACGGCGACGAGGACGGCGACGAGGACGGCGACGACGACGACGACGACAACGACGAGGACGGCGACGAGGACGGCGACGAGGACGACGACGAGGACGACGACGACGACGACGACGACGACGACGAGGCAACGACGACGACGAGGCGACGACGAGGCAACGACGACGACGACGAACTGGAAATATTGCTGGAATCGCACGCTTCCCAGAAGGGCGCCGTGACCCCCCCAAACAGCTCTTGATCGCTTGGTCGCATGCACGGGGGGCCATCGGCGGGGGGTGCGGGCCTTTCCGCAGCCCTCGACCCCCCGCACCTGACGTTTTGCAGGCCGCGGCGCCGAGAGGTCCCGACCTCTTCCCCGGACATTGGCTTCCGTTCCAGATCAATGTGTGTGTGTGTGTGTTGGACTTGGAGCCCCATGCTGAGCACAGCGGCCGAGATCAGCAAGGAAACACGCCGGCGTCGAACAACAACATCTCGTCGGGGGCCCAAGTTCGTGTCCCCCCATCACGGACAGCGCCCGAGCCTGCACCACCGGCCAGCTCCCAGAGTGGAAGCCGCAGTAGTCCTTTGGGGGGCAACGATCGGGAGGAGACATCGGCGTGGAATCGGCGAGGCATCGCCGAGGGATCGGCGATGGGCTCCCGACTGCAAAGCCCAGCGCTCCTGGGCGGGGTGGGGCGGTCAGACCCCTCTCTGCGATAAACTGGGCGATTGGAGGCCGATGCATGCCCTCAGGTCGGGCATGTCCTCCTGCAGGCGGAGTTTGGAAGGAAATTATTCTATAGTCCAAAAAAATGTGCGAAGACCGCCAACGATGATAGAAAGATTGTCCCCTGACTCTTTTTTGACTGCTTTTGACTGTTCCTCCTGTAGAGGAACATGCCCGACTCGAGCATACCCCCCCGTGCCTATCCCCCGCTACACGTCGGTCGGAAGAAGTAGGTAGAAACATGAAGTAGGAAGGCGGATGAAGCAGATTGGGTCCAGGTCCTCCCAGAGAATAACAGAACACGGCAAACGCATGTCGATTGTTGAAGTACGAAGGCGCTTGAAGTAGATTGGGATCTGGGAATCCAAGAATACCTACTTTCGGCGACCGGCGTGTATTTTTGCCCCCGATCCTTGGTGCCTCTCCACGCGACCTGCAAGTCGAACTCCCCCGGGAGCAGCAGCGCGAGCGCGGAGACGGGACGCGCGGGAAGCAGAAGGGCCGGCACGCAGAGGCACAGACTTCCGGTGCGCCCTGACCCTCCTCCTGCTCCTCCTGCTCCTCCTGCTCCTCCATCTCCTCCATCTCCTCCATCTCCTCCTCCTCCTCCTGCTCCTCCTCCTCCTCCTCCTGCTCCTCCTCCTCCTCCTCCTCCTCCTCCTGCTCCTCCTCCTCCTCCTCCTCCTCCTCCTCCTCCTCCTCCTCCTCCTCCTCCCCCACCTTCCGATCGGAATACATGGAAGGTGGTGGTTGTCGACGAAAGTTCCTCGAGGCCCCCCATTGTTTCTCTCACGGTTTCCTGCGGATTTCCGAGTGCCGCGACGCAGACCAAGACAGACCGAGCCAAACCAAGACAACCGAGTTCCCCAGGCGATAGGTTCGGATATGTCCCGCCTCGCGAAGCAGCGACATATCCGAATCCAACGCCTGGGGGACCGACATCCTGGGAATCCAGGGGGGCGGTGGGTAATTATGCATATTCGCCACCGTGCTTGCACGGAGTGGGCGTGTTAGAATGCTTGCTGTTGTCTGGGAGGTGTCTTTAGTTTTCTAAGGCCGACTCCCCCCATACCCGCACGCGTGCCTTGAAAATCGTCCCCCATGAAATTTCTCTCAGGCGGTCTTTTCGGCCTCCAGACGGCCAAGACGGTTCCAAAGACAACCACAACGACACCGAGACGGCCCACGATTGCCCAAGACGGCTCAAGAGGCTCCCAAGACTGACTGGCTCAAGACAGCTCAAGAGGCTCCCGAGACGGCCCAAGAGGGCTCCTACAGGCCCTCCAAGAGAGTTCGGGGAAGCAACAACCATTGCTTTCCAAACCTTATCGCGGGAGTTTGCGGCTTTCGCCGGTGAGAGCTTCCGACCGCCCAAGACGGCCCAAGAGGCCCCCAAGACAGCTCGAAGACAGTCCACGAGGCCCCCCAGAGGGCCTCGAGTCGGCCCAAAAGGACCCCAAGACCGCTCAATAGCCTCCCAAGAAGGCCACAAACGGCCCTGAAGCGGTCTAAGAGGGTACCAAGGCTTATGTTGCTCCCATCGTACTGAAGGACCACATCCCAGAAATCATGTCGAACACCCCAAACATTATCGAAACAGTGTCGAACGAGTATCGCCTCCCAGGATCCGACACGTGAAAACCCTCCAGTTTCGGTATTCTTGGTGCTCGGAATGATTTCTAGCGCTCAAAGCTAAAGTAGGTTGGAACATCATAGACCAAGGCGGCCCAAAGAGGTCCCAAAGATGGCCTCCGAAGGCGCGAGACGGGCCGTTCGCCTCCCCGAGACGGCCCAGGCGGCCCAGAAGGCCCCCGAAGCCTCCAAGAGGCCCTGAGAGGCCCTGAGAGGCCCCCAGGGGGGCCCCCGCGGGGCCCCCCGCGAGGCTCCCAGGAGGCCCCAATAATGCCCCAAGAAGCTTCCCGGTACTGGTGCCAGCAGCGCTTCGCAGAGCGCTGCCAGGACATCTCGCATTTGTGTCTTTTGTGCAGCGAGAGCCCCGGGACGCTGTTTCATCGACGATTCAAGTGCCCTGCGCACGCCGCGTGGCGTAGGGACTGCCTGGGCCCTGACCTGGGGGCTGCTGCAGTCGTCATTTCAACTTTAGCCCCGCGGGCCGGGCCCAGGAACTTTTTGCTCGCGGAGTACTGCCTGACCCGACGTGCTGGTTCAGAACCCCGCCCGGCCTCCCAGAGGACATCGTGTATAGGTTCAATTGGCCTGCGGAGGGGCTGACTTTGGAGGCGGGGTCCCACGTGTTCACTGACGGCTCAGCTCTCGAGCCCCTACTGCCCCGGATTCGGGCTTCGGGATGGGCGGTGGTTGTGACGGACGGTGGGGGAAGGTCTTTCGTGCGATCTGGGGGCGGGTGCCCCGCAGCGTTGCCCCAGACCAGGTCGCTCGTGATGGCGAGGATTTCGCCGTTGTCTCACTCGTCCGCTACGCTCTGGTGTCGCCTGGAGTCAACCTTCACATCGATTGTTGTGGTACGGCCGATCTGGCCCGCGATCCGTCCTCTGCAGTGTGCCCAGATAATCCTCGGTCGCACCTGTGGCAGCATGTGCACGATAAGCTGGACGGAGTCCTGGTTCATAAGGTGCCTGCTCATTGTTCGGAGCGCGACGTGCTGGAAGGAAAACTGAGCCGCCTCCAGCTGCTGGGCAACCGTGCCGCGGACTCGTATGCGAAAAAAGGTGCTGAGCTAGGTAGGCTCGCCCCCGAGGACCTCCTTGTGGTTGAGGGTTGCCATGAGATGGCCCGCCTTGTTTCCAGATTCGCTGCCGAGCAGGAGGCTCGGATCGGAAATTCGAAGGTGTTTGACCACGTGAGCCTAGATTGGCTCAAGCATGTGGACCTCGACCTTGATCCTGCTCTCCCTCCACTTCCTCCTTGTGGCGGGGACGGGCGGGGCAGTGCGGGCGGGACTGGGGAGGATCATGAAGCGGCCCCTCTTGGGCCCCGGCAGGCGGCGACCCAGTCGGAGACCGCCCCTGCTGCCGCTGTCTTGTGGCCGGAGCTGGCCCCTTGGCCCGCCCGGAACCGTTCGGTTCTGGAGGCCGCAGTCTTCGACTCGAATGGGTCGGCCGCTGGCTCGATCGCTCTGTGCCTTTCGTGCGGGGCCGTGTGCCAGATAGGAGGCCACTGGGGTAGGTCTGCTCTCGCGTCGGATTGCCTGCACGCGTGCTCCACAGGTCATGACAGGCAATTGACTTGGATTTTGCGCGGGGACAATCCGTCTCGCAAAGGCTTCCGTGTCGACAGGCCGACTGTGATTTCGGAGGCATCGAGGGCCTGGCTGGCACCCAAGATGGGGCTGGAGCAGCAGCCCGCCCTTGCACGGCCGCCTGCCGAGCGCTTGGCGCCGACGGCTCCTACTGGGATGGTGGTGGACTTGGCGAGGGAATTGGCGTTGTTCGGCTTCCCGGATCGGGCTACGGCCGAGGCCCTCGGTGCCCGTGCTGTGGAGCACAGGAACCGTGCGGCTCGAGCCGAACTCGAAGTGGATTCGTTTGAGTTTTAACCCCGACCTGTGGGGCGTCCTTGGCCCCAGGTGGCGACCTCTTTGAGGTCGATGTGCCGCCGCTGTCCTGATGCATGTTGGAATGCGATCGCTTCCCCAGCGGGTGCCGGACTCCTCCACCTCATCCTCTTGCTCCTCCTCCTCCTCCTCGTCCTCCTCCTCCTCCTCCTTCTCGTCCTCGTCCTCGTCCTCGTCCTCCTCCTCCTCCTCCTCCTCCGCCTCCTCCTCCTGCTCCTCCTTCTCCTCCTCCTCCGCTTCCTCCTCCTCCTCCCTACCGCGCGACGGAAACGATGTCGGGATCACGACCCTCCCCGGGTCAGCCTACGCGCGGAACTGCCGCGGAATGTGAACTCGACCTCCTTCCCAAAGCGCGGACGAAGACGAGGTCGAGCTCACGACCCGTGGTTATCATGCCACTTGTCGGAATTGCGCTGTTCCTTCCTGTAGCGCTGTTGCACAGGCACAGTGGTGGGCTTTGCCGCAGGCAGCTCGATAGTTTGTCCCGGGGGCTCCAGTATATCCACATCCACCGCCTGCCGAGGTCCCCAAAGATCGTTCCCTCAGGCGGTGGTCATGGATAAGTCCACAGCTCGGATTCAGGGCCGCCCAAAACATGACACTGCCAACCACGACTTTCAAAACTCCACCTGGAGAGAGCGGATGACGGAACATGTCTCGACCCATGGCTGTAGTGCTCTCGGGCGCACCAATGTCCTGGTTTTAGCATGAGCTCCCATTCAAGGGGCCCCGGAACTTCCGGAGGAGGCCCGCGCCTGATCTCCTGGATCGGCGCTGGACCCCTCCTCGCGACCATGTCTGGGTCTGTGCAGACTTTTCTCCTTCGCGATCGGCCAGCACCGAGCAGTGCGTGCCGAAGGCCCAGACGCGCGCCCGCCGCGGGCGCGCCCCCTGCCGCGAGGGCCCTGCCGCGAGGCCCACGGCGGAGCCGCCGCCTGCGGCGCCGACGACGACGACGGCGACGACGATGACGGCGACGACGATGACGGCGACGGCGACGACGACGACGACGGCGGCGACGACGAGGACGGCGACGGCGACGACGAGGACGGCGACGGCGACGACGACGACGACGACGACGACGACGGCGACGACGAGGACGGCGACGGCGACGACGAGGGCGGCGTCGGACGGCGACGAGGACGGCGACGACGGCGACGACGGCGGCGGCGACGACGACAGATAAAGACCGCAGGGCCGCCGCCGCACCGCCCGCTGCATCGGCGGTGTGAGAACGACCACGGCGAGGACGAGGACGAGGACGAGGACTAGGTCGGGCATGTCCCCACGCAGGCGGATTGGGGGACGAAAATTTACAAGATACCCGAAAAGTGCCCCAAACATGCTCAAACATAGTCAGTACATCATCCCCAGGCTACTTTTTGTTGACTGTTCTTGAGTGCTCCTCCTGTGAAGCCCGACTTAAGACGAGGATCAGGACGAGGAGGGCGACGATTTAGTACTCTCGGCAGATGGCCCAGGATTAGGGGAACAAAAAGT